TTCTCCCCCTCCCAGGGGTGGGGGCCTGCCACTAGCAAGCGTGTCTCTGTGTGCTGCCTCCCTCTCACCCCCTCGGGATGCGCACAGACATGCTTGCCAGCAGCGTGGCAGCTTTGAGCCCCATGGGGCCACTATGGCATGCAGGCAGCCTGCTTGCCTGAGTGCCCTGTTGTGCCCCTGGCCAGGAGCCACCTGTGGTAAGTGCCTCCTGGCCAGAGCCTGCACCCAGCACCCCCTTCCGCACCCCAAACCCAGGTCAGAACCCCCTCCTGGAACCAAACTCCCTCCTAGTCCCCATAGCTTCTCCTGCACCCCAATCCCTGCCTACAGCTCCCTCCTGTGCCCACACTCCCTCCCAGACCCCACAGCCCCTCCTGCACCCCAGTCCCTGCCTACAGCTCTCTCCTGCACCCAGACGCCCTCCCAGACCCCACAGCTCCTCCGTTAATATAATAGGGAAGTGTGGCTCCTGATCACTTACCAAAATTCTTAGGAGTGGTTTTCGCCGCGATTGTTGAGCCCTCTGTGTGTGTGTGTGTGTGTGTGTATTTAAAAATCATTTGTTGTGCTAGGGAGTACTCGTGTTTTGTTGTTGTTTTTTTTTTATAATACTAACTATATATACAAAATGGTGAGGTCTGACTTCACTGTTAGCACTCAAGAAAGGAAACTTGGAATCGTCATGAATGGTTCTGTGGAAACATCTGCCCACTGTGTGGTAGCAGTCAAAATAGGTCACCATTTTAGGAACCATTGGGAAAGGGATAAACGATAACAGAATATATTGCCGTTGTATAAATCCACTAGAAGACTTACCCAGCGTTGCCAGAGCCAAAGGGTGGGGGGGGGGGCACCAAGGCTGGGCCCACCCCAAGTGCAGTGGGGGCCACGCAGGCCGACTAGCTGTGGCCATGCAGCATAGCCAGGCAGTGCTCTCTGGGCGGGAAGGTACACAGCGGCCCCGGTCCAGCGCTGGGCTGAGGGCCAGAGTGAAGGGGATTGGGACATAGGGGCCACTCACCTGGACCGCTGGCAGGCAAAGTGGCAAGCCCCATCCTCAGATGGCCACTCCCTTTGTGATGTGGCTGCCCCCCAGTGTCACTCTGATATAGCTATTCTCTGCACTCACTGTCCCCAGTGGTACCTGTGAGTGTAGCATCCCTCCACTTAGCCCTCTCCCTTTCCATGTGATGGAAAACAATCAAATTCTAGGCACTTTCCTGGCACAACCAAACCCCGGCCTTGATTTATGTTAGCATAAAAGGAAGCTGCACACCAGATTTGGTGGTCCTAACAATTTATTGTTTAGGAGTTCTTGAATAGGCAGACTCACAGAAAGACAGACACACAAATCTCTAAAATATAGAGAGAGATGGTACACCCATACCTTCGATACTACATGCAGTTCTGGTCACCCTATCTCAAAAACTGATACAATACAATTGGAAAAGATATAGAAAAGAGGAACAAAAATGATTAGGGGGTATGTAAGAGCTTGTGCACAAGGAGAGATGAAAAAGACTGAATCTTAGAAAAGAGGTGTCTGAAGGGCGATAGGATAGAGGCTAATAAAATCATGACTGGTATGTAGGAAGTGAACAGGAAGCACTGATGTGCCTCTTCAAGAAGCACAAGAATTGGGGGGTCACTTAATGAAATAAATAGGCAGCAGGTTTCATGGAACCATAGAAAAGCCTGTTGAGGAAGGAAGTACTTCTTCCCACGGCACGGGCAACCTGTGGAACTCTTTACTAGGGGATGGTGCGAAGGCCAAAAAATATAACTGGGTTCCAAATAGAATTAGCTATTGGTCACAATGGTCAGGGACATAACTCCATGATCTGGATGTCTCTCAACCTTTGACTGGATGACAGGAGGTGGATC